TTGTCTGTGGAGGTGGCATTGGTCACCTTGCTGTCACCTCGACACCCGAGTGCAACACCATGTCTGGTCTCAGTCCAGTCTTTGGGATTAGTTCGGGGTGCCTCTCCCAGGTACAGACGAGTATGGATGGAGCTTATGCGACTTTGTTGAATGTGCTTGTATATGAGTACACACACACACACAAACACACACACACACACACATACACATGCACACAATGTCCGTATTTGTCTTTCTCTGCCATTAAAACGAAATTGCTAGTTACACATATATGTGTTGTTTAATATTATATGTTACTGTGTTGTTAACCCTACTAGCTGTTAGAAGAAACATAAAAGCAATGTTTCTTGTCTCAACAGCGCCCTGCCCGTCGGGGTGGTTCGGAACCAGCTGCAGATATCAGTGCCACTGTGACGTCCACACAGCCTGTGCTTTGGAGGATGGATCCTGTGCTGTTGACGATCGATGCGTCAGAGGTTACTTTGGACCAGGGTGTCAATACAGTGAGTACATGATGCAGGTAGATCCTTCATTCACTGCCTGTGTGTCGTATTACAATGTCTTTTCTAAGTCTCCTAGCTATGTGTCTTGAGCTTCTAGGATGGTTTGGGGATTGGTAGAATTTGTTTACCTGTTTGTCGGTTTCAACAGTAAACTGTTGATGCAGCTCTCTATTGGTCTTTCCCTCACCTTTCTCCAATATTTTATGTTGTAAAACTTGTCATATGCAGTTTGGTCTGGCTTATTCTCACTAGATAGTCCAACGATTTCATTCTTTGTCTCACAGTATACTTCAGACACTGATTCCAACTGTCTCTCCTAATACTGGTATTCGTAATCCTTTCCCTTCGTGTTTGTTAGTGACCTTACGGAGACGGACCATTTCACTGTAGTTTTTTCTGCTCGAGTACAATATTATTTGTCCATATTTGGCACTGACAGCATTAAATAGGGATAAAGATGCTAATAATTATTTCCTGTTTTGCTGGAAGGGAGATATTTGTCTAAGTAGTGCTAACTTGTAGGTGACAGCACTTGCCTTTTGTACTCTGAGTTTTATCTATCAACTCTGCTATCTTCTTTACAAATTCTCCCTCGGTATACATCAGTTCTCGTATTGCTTTGATTGTAGTATCATTAACTTTTATGTTATGTTTCCTGCTTATTCTCGTTTCCTTTTTTTTTTCTTTTCACCTTTCTCATGTCAAACTTTGTGCACGTTTGATGTAGGAGTCAGTATGGTGCAAATTATGTTCTCAGTGTTGTGTTTGACTGATCTGCTATGACAAGTCTCTGTATTTGCCTCCTGTGTAATTATGTTCGTGTAAGTAATGAAGAACAATGGGCAGAGGACACATACCATGTATGCCACATGGTGAGGTGCGGAAACAATCTGTCATCTGTTTAAGTGTTTTTCTTTCCAACTGTGTTTATTTTTACTGGTAATTGTAATTTATGTCATGTGCTTATAAAGGCTTTCTCGCCGGAACGTTTACTAGCCATTCAATTTGTGATCAAAAATGAGCTGACCTTTTTAATTTTTTGTATGATTTTTTTTTTTTTTTTTCTGATGTACGCAATTCTGAGAAAATTTCTATTGTGTCTTTAGTCAAGCAAATGAGCGTGTGGGCAACTGTGTAACCGACACAATACTCAAACGATATGACTTGTGAATATTCTTTTAGCTGTAACAAAAAGACTCCCACAAAGAGATTCGAACAGACATTTGCTCATATTTCAGACGACATCAGCCTCCTCAGCTCTGTTTATTCCACTCCACCCTATCTGCTGGACAACAATGACTCGACATGTAACCCAGATCCCACAGACACGCAAGTGTTCCTCAATTGGCAAGTGGCTTACGTGATCTACTGGTTCAGGATTGTGCTCAGCAATAGCCGTAAGTGTCCTGGGCTTGTTGCTTTCAATTATCTTCCAGTGGAAGATACGATTATCTGTGACGGGCGCAATGCTACTGATGCTACTCCTTCTACTATTATAAGGTAAAGTCGGGAGATGTGAACCAGCGTCATTGCACACGGTTATAAACCATAAGCGCTCTGCCACCAGTACGGACAGCTGAGAGGAAACTGTACGCCTGTGACGCCGTCCGCACGCAACGCCGTAGCTACAGCGACGTTTCCCCATTCACCCCATAGTGTTAGCTCTGGTACCCATTACCTAGAGGCCGGGTGAACCCCGAGAACCGCCCGGTTTCGAACTCCGGCCGTGGGCTGCAGCTAGTCCCAGCTTGATTTGAAAGCGAGTATCATATGGACTGTGCCAACGCAGCTCCGCAAAAAGAGGTGAATCGACAGGAAACTGAACCTAGGTCACCCGTGTGGCAAGCGGGTATTCTTCCTAGTAAAACAAAACCACAACAACTACTACTACTAAAAATGCTACTGCTACTGCTGCTACTACTACTACAACAACAACAAATACTACTACTATTACTACTACTTCTACTACTACTACTGCTACTTCTACTACTACTATTACTATCATTACTTCTACGACTACTACTACTACTGCTACTTCTACTACTACTATTACTATCATTACTTCTACGACTACTACTACTACTGCTACTTCTACTACTACTATTACTATCATTACTTCTACGACTACTACTACTACTGCTACTTCTACTACTACTATTACTATCATTACTTCTACGACTACTACTACTACTGCTACTTCTACTACTACTATTACTATCATTACTTCTACGACTACTACTACTTAATTTTTCAGTGCTAATTGTCATATTAGTTTAGTAATGTATGTGTGTGTGTGTGTGTGTGTGTGTGTGTGTGTGTGTGTGTGTGTGTGTGTGTGTGTGTGTGTGTGTGTGTGTGTGTGAAAGAATAATGTATTACAAATCACATAACATAACCCTTTGATGTGGAGGTGTATCGAAGGCAGCACTGGCATACATAATCCAATTCTGTCTTCCGCTTGTTCAAGTGTGTGATAACTTCGTCCTATCCATTTCTGGATGTTGCTATTCCAGGTTCTTATTTTTCCTACTTTCCTTGGATATGTTCCTTCAAGCACAGTCTTTTCAATGGAATCATGTCTCACCACGTGCCCCAACCAAGCTAGCTTGCAACGTTTCACCACTGCTAAGGTAGTTTCCGGATGTGAGTTGGATTATGTTCACAGCACTCCGGACACATCCATGGGTGCTCAGATAACCCTTTCAATAATTCATCAGCCTCTCGTGGTATGTTATAAACAGCAGGTGAGATTCGTTGTTTGCCTCAGGCAGCCAGTTCAGACTTGACTAAGATCAGTCAGGCATGCCTCGCCTTATTCGGAACATTGTGATGCTTCTAAGTGAATTGTTTTCTTTAGAGAAGGAGACAGTCATCATTTTTTGGCTATGTTATGAGAAGAGGGAAAATAGAACATGTTGTGACCACTGGAAAGATATGTGGAAGGAGAGATAGAGGAAGACAACGAGAGAAGATGCTTGACAGTCTTGTTGCATGGCATGGAGGTGTGTCGGCACACGAACTGATACATGCTGCGGGAGATCGCAGATTATGGAGAGGCATGATCGCCCACGCCAGTTGGCAAGGCACCTGATGATGATGAGAGAAACGTTTGTGAATGCAAAAGATTCATACACCATGTTGAGAAAGGTGGAGGCTGGTATACTCCGTGCAGAGTGATAAGCATCGCTTGACAGGTGCATGGTCTTTGGCCTCATTTTGATATTTTCTCCACAACATGTAGGTGCACAGGAAAACGAACAGACAGACCTAATGTCTGGTTTTGCAACAGCAAGGGTTGACTTATTGCCTGCCAAGCTACGTGTTGTCAAAGCTCTTTGTGAGTCAATGAACTGTGTGGACGCACACATAAATATTACGGAATGAAGAGAATTGTGCATCGAGCAGTGACCAAGAGATCTGGTCGACACTTAGTATTCATAGGGGGAGGGGGCTGCGTGGTTTCCAGGCATGGTGTCCGCCTCGAGTGCTAGAGGTTCCGGGTTCAATCCCCGGTAAGGGCTGGGATGTTTTCACGTGCACTTGGAGTTCTAGTAATTCCCCCTGGTCTCTGGATAGTGAAGTCGGACACCCGTATGCATTGCTGCCCCGGTAAAAAAATCTCTCACCAGTTGGAAATCGAATAGAGTAGCCTAACGGCACTGCCCGGGCAAAATTTGGAGTTAAAAATAGACCAAAAGTATTTCAGGATTCCCGCCGGTGCTACAGAGCCTGCGCACTGTGCTGAGCTTCTTCGGACTCAAACATGAGTTAGAAGTAAAACGGAGCATTTAAGGGTTACTACCCGTGTGCAATGATGTTGATGCGTTGTTCAATCCTGAAACTTCTATACTCAGGGGGAAGGAAAGAGGGGCATACAGTCGCACTGTTACTGGCACAGTTGAAACTGGAACGCAACGCAGGCTGACGAAGATTTGTTGCTTCTGACAATATCGCAACTGTTGTGACGTCGGTGCTTCACAACAAAGAGATGTTCAAGGCAATATTATACTCATTAGTTTGACATATTTTCGAAACAGTTCGACGCACGTTCCAGTGTCGAAAACAACATAAAGTGGTTTGCCGTCAAATCGCCTGCAAATGAATGAAACAGTATTTTCTGAATTATGAAGGTCTTCATGTTCTTCGTCCTCTTCCTTTCATATTATTTAACTTATTTCTTCAGTCTGGGTTTTCAAAAGGCTTATTATACGAAGCATTGTAGTTCACTGCTAGGCTGCGCCTTTCTGTCAACACTTCCGATTTCAGCGCTCCCCTAATTAATCATCATTTCTGACATGCGAGTTATGACAGCGGACCTATCAATTGACCACTAGAATGGGGCACCGGACAACACACACAGGCTAAACTGTTTGGATAACCCCAAGAACCAAAACTGTAAGCCATAGCTACACGTTAGTTCTAAAGGGATTATCGCGAAGGAGTATACCATATATATGCATATTCATTTGTGTGTGACTTAACTAGCTTCCTACACATTAAGAAAACAGACACTGAATTCAATGTGATGATGGTACTGCAGGTAACCTGCACAATTTTCGATTAACTTTGCAAGGAGAAACCTGTATCAATCAGAGGATCTATTCTGTAGCAGAAACATCGATCGATGTCACGTGTGATAACACACGGACCATACAGTGGATAGATTTGACAGGGGCGGCAGTGAGCAGTTTGTGTTCTATCTACATCAGCGTAGGTGAGTATGACAGTGAGCAGTTTGTGTTCTGTCTACATCAGCATAGGTTAGTTTGACAGTGTGGAGTTTATGTTCTGTCTACATTAGCATAGGTTAGTATGACAGGATGGAGTTTATGTTCTGTCTACATCAGCATAGGTTAGTATAACAGTGTGGATTTTGTGTTGTGTCTAGATCAATATACGTTGTAGCCTGTTCCAGAAATCCTATCAAACTTTACGAATGTGTAACTGGGTAAGACTTCTGTGTCAGTAGTGGAAATTTAACATGCAGCCTGTTAAAAAGTGATGTCCCTCTAAGAATTCTTTTTTAAATACAAACAATTAGTTTTTGTGTGTGTGAGTGTGTGTGTGCAATATTTGCTGAATGTTGAAACAGACATCGGTTAGAAATCAACAGTCAGCATGCTTGCAGTTCACTGAGTAAAGGGAACTTTCAAAAGACCAGTTTAATTGGCGTTTCGCTCTCAGGTTTTCATTTCCAGGATTAGTCTCCCTGAGTTTTTGCATTTTTAGTACATGAGAGATAGGTTATCAAAAGAATCACAACGTTCTGTGTGTTTTATTTTTTAGTTGTGCACAAATTATGAGTCATTCAAACATTAAAGTAATTCTCCGCTCCATGAAAACAGCAGCACCTGTACAGTTATAAATTCATAAGGCTATTGAAAGTCTAAGGCCACATCTACAAACTCGTTTCGATCAGTACGAGTTTTCGAGATATTTGTTAAAATGTAAGGGCACGAGTTGTGAAACTCACTTTAGTATAAGATGATGTGTAATGTCTTATCTATATTAGTGTACATTTCTGCAACAGTGAGGCTGCATATCTCGTCCACATGCGCTGCCGCCTGATGCAGCCGGTTCTCCGTATCTTTGAGAGCCATGGCCATGACGCTAATAATTAGTACCATAATATTTATACTATAAAGGCACCTAAGCATTACGTGTAAATCCACCTCAGGAGCACTTGGTTTTTCTTTGGTTGGCAGGTCGCAGCGTGGCCTTGAAGCAGCAGACGCGACAGTCATCAAACAGCAGCAGAGAACCACACAGAGGCGTGTCCTCCCATGCTGTGGATGGTAACACAGACTCTGTCTATGAGAGAAACTCCTGCACACTGACAGCCGAGGAGAAGTACCCCAGATGGGAGGTTCTCTTTGACAAACCCTACATGCTAGGCCGCATTTCTGTATATAATAATCAGGGTAGGATTTTTGGAAGCGAGCTGAACCTGTGTTTTGTTGTTGCGTGTGCCAGACGTTAGACAGACCACCTTTTATCTTTGTGTATTCCAACGTAAACTATGACCTTACTCAATGATACACCTGGTTTGTAGATTAGGCAATCCGTTGTTCCTGCATTATTGAATGAATAAATACCTACCTCATTGGGCTCGGAAATTCCCACACCGGTTCATCTAACCGTGTTCCCCCCCCCCCCCCAGCAATAACCAATAACTCACATGTTGGGGATGAAAGTGTCCTGTTTGCACCTGTATTTTCTTTCATGTTATATAGAACCACTTTTAAAACTTGACTGTGAATCTTGGACAGTCAGTCTCTCTCCGCAGAAGGCTAACCACCTGCTAAGAAAGTAACACAAACCACAAACTCAACAGATCAGCAACCATCTTTAATGATATTGTCAAAGTTGAAATCGTGAACCTAATGACGCAGCCGTGGAACACACGACTTCTAGAACGCAAGTATATGGTTTACCACTTCACCACTGAGACCTCTAATTTGTAACATAAACTGATTTATAGGAACATAAAAAGAAGCAGAGATAGGAGGTCACACTTTATATCATAAAGATCAAAAACAATGACAATGAATTGAAGGGAATTTGTATGGGCAGACCATCTTCTTCTTATAGTTAGTGGCGTGTGTACGTTGACAGTCATCTCTATCCACAACCTTCTGTCTCGTGTACGTTCAGTCACTTCTGACAGAGATTATTCTCCAAGTCATCACGTCAAACTATCAATCATACTCTCTAGGCGTTGCTACGAGTATTTTCCTTTCCAACTTTCCTACCGTCAGGATGCACGCAAGTTGTCTTGTCCTCGTAATGTGATCAAAGAATAGAGATCATCTCCTGCTCATATTGACAATAAGAACCCTTCGTCAGTTGTTGTTGTTGTTTTTTTTTTTAAAGAAATCTCCATTGTTGCTTTTATCCGTCCAGTTTATTCTTCTTGTAAGGCTGCGTAGTCTCCAGGCATGGTGTACGCCTCGAGTGCTAGAGGTTCCAGGTTCAATCCCCGGTAAGGGCTGGGATTTTTTTTTCACGTGGGCTTGAACTTTTAGTAATTCCCCTGGTCTCTGGGTAGTTAGATCAGTCGCCCGTGTGCATTGTTGCGCACGTAAAAAAAAATCTATTGGCAGTTGGAAATCAAAAAGAGTAGCCTAACGGCGCTGCCCAGGCAAAATTCGGAGTTAAAAATCTACCCCAAAAAAATTTCAGGATCCTCGCCGGTGCCACAGACCCTGTGCACTGTGCTGAGCTTCTTAGGACTCAGACGAGTTAGAAGAAGAACGGAGCACTTGTGGGTTACTACCGGTGTGCCATGAAAATCATCCAACTGTCGACGATTCGCTTCCGAATAGCCCTTCATAATTCTCTTCCTCGTTTTAATTGAAAAAGAAAGACAACATTTAATTTGTTGTTGTTGTTGTTGTTGAAAAATGCTGTCTTGAATCAGAAATAAGCAGCAGTTATATTTTGAAAGTGATCAGTGACCTGACGGAGATTGCACCTAGTAGTGACAGGGAAAAACATTGATATGTAGTGGGTCTCTTACTACAGTAGGAATCTGGTCGGTGTCTGTGTGTTCACAGACGGGACCAGACAGCAGATCGCCGCAATCATCTCCTGCAGCACCTGCACGTAGCAGTCAATACCTCTTGATGGCAGTTTAATATTTAAATATCACATACATGACCTACGAGTGCTGTCTTCCGCCACCGCCTGACTACCAAGAAGCCTAACAACAGTCTACAGCAGTCGCTTACGCCACACATCCAGGTTCTGCTTGAAAGCATTTCGAATCACACGGCTAATCATTCAACTTTCATCGCTGACATGTACACGAACAAAATCCGCACATCGTATGGAAACCTTAGCATCACCGCCCTTACAACTTACAAAAACTCACCCCATCTCGTCAGCCTCGAGATTTCATAGAGGATTTTCCAGCGAGATTTTATAGTCTAGGGGTATCGTATGTTTCTCGTCTTAAACGTTTGAAGCAGATCTACTTCCGACCTCAGTCACGGTTAGCAAGTATACAAATAAAAAAATACCAACGGTTCGATATTCACAAACCGTCGCGCCTTGGGCTCTTCCTCCAGCAGTAATTCTTACTTGCACACAAGCGCTTTCGGCGCCTGAGACCTACTCCCAACACATTTCAGAAACAACAGTCATTCAGAATTTCAAACTCGTGAGTGAGTACCGGGTACAGCCCCGGGAAGTAGAGGCGGCCGGCGGGATGCTAACCACATCACCCATCTTGTGCCGTTTGTCTATAAAATATAGGTCTAGCCCTATACGCCTAAAGGAGTGGAAAAGGGTCCTTTACTTTTTTACTTTTCACTTACTATTGCTGTTACGATAATTATTATTGCTGTTGTTTATTGTTATTTTTATTATTATTATAAGTGCAATTATCATTACACGTATAAAGAACTTGAAGGCCACTTGAACCCAACCTTTCCCCAGGAAAACATGTAAAGGGCGTTCCGCTCTCCCAATTTTTTCTTTACCTCGGCTAGCCTGAATGTAATTAACCCCTTTTTTCCTCACAGTGTATTTGTTATATCTTCTCTTTGATGTTTTTGTATTGACCAATGTTCTTTGCATGTCTCCACAATCAGACTTTTTTACCGCACTTGTAAACATCTCTATCCACGTTTACAATGGAGAGAACCTAGCGTTCAACATCACATCGTTTACAAACTGGCTGAACATTTATCAGTACAATATAGAGTCACCATTTCCTAGCACATCTGTGAGAATCACCTCCTTACAACAGCAGTCCCTGACACTGTGTGAGGTTGTCATATTTGGGGGTAAGTTTCCGTGTATTGTGCCCGCCATTTACGCTCATTAACAGGTCATGAGAAGGTTAAAGTCTATAGCTGATATCTGTCTATGCGAGCAGAGATATTCGTGTATCTCTGTAAGGAGTCATTATCTCTTTTGTATCTCATTATCATAAACGTTTTTTTTTTTATTGGTGGTATTAGGAATAATATATAAATATGCTAACAAATCGAGTGTTAGATGGAGACAAAAGTGAACTTCGTGCAGTTTGGCCAAAAGCATACAAAGCGAGGAAAATGTGAATGCTTGAGAACAGTCTACGAGATCACAAGGGAGGGAAGAGCCTATTTAAACCACTGGATAATGAAATACGGTAGTCTTATTTTATATCAGGTTTTTCGGCGGTCAGAGTGATTGAACTGAATTTATCCTGAGAAGAACGAGTGAATATCTTTAACCCAGTATTCGAAAGAAACCTGGCTAATCAATCCATGACAACAATCAATGGAGTTGTGATTGTTAGCTGTGCTTTGTAGTTTGTGAATGCAGATTTGGGTGGCGAGAAGCACACACGTGAGATGAACTGACAGTGAGAATATTGCATAGTTGATGTAAATAAGTGACATCTTACAAGATCTGAACATCAAGGAAGATTGGCTAATAAACAGCATCCTTTCTCGAAAGCGGAAATATTTTGGTCATATCAAGCGCCACGACGGATTGGAAAAAAATATAGCAGAAGGCATGGTACTACGAAGGAGGGGCAGAGGCCGACCGACACGAAGATGGGCACAGGATATAAGAGACTCCTTGTTTGTGAAAGTTCATGAGGCGGGGGAACTGGCAAGAGACCGAGTTTCTTACGGGCAGACTGTGATGAGAGCCACGTTCTGCTACATGATGATGATGATGATGTAAGTAAGTAGACGTGAGGGTTCAAGGCTAGGTCCCTAGAAGATATCCCCCAGGCACACTATTTGATCCAGAGGACGTCGTTGGTGAGTGAA